GTTTAAGTGCGCCTTATAGTCGTGAAAATACGGTAGGTCAAAACAGAGCTCAATTCAATTCAATTGGAACTGCCACAATGAATGAACAAACAAAAAAGGGTTGCAAATAAGAATTTCACTTTAGTCAGAAGCTTGTCGACATAGAAGTATAACAACAGACAGTGGTGTACAAAAAAATAAAATAAAATAAACAGAAAAGCGCCTTTAAATTCCCAATGACTTTGCTTATCAGTTGTTCCCTTTTTTTTTGGTGATCAAGTCTGTCTAATGGAGTGCACTCCTTAATTATGTTTCCAAGTTCAAACAAGTATCAATGCAGATTGCTTGGTAAAATCCTACCATAGCAGATAGTCCATCTGCTATTTGTTATGGTGTATATAGCCTCTGGTTCTATGACTCAGTTGGGTTGGCTCGCCATCAAACATATTCTTCTCCATGGATCTTGACCATACCCCAAAAGACCTGACCGATTTGCATATGCACTGAAAGAGAGTGATGTCACAGCTCAATCCCTGCGCGGTCAAAAGGCTTCTCCGTCGCCATCGTTGTGGGGTTTGTTACTCTACTCCAAAGTGGCACTGGACTCCTCCTAAGTCGCACCACTATAGACAACAACCGAATATTTAGCTTAGGTCCCATCACGCATTTGCTTTTCCTCCACTAAAGGTATTGTGTGGTCTCTCTGTGCTCGGCTTCAGACAGACAAGGAAATATAGAAGTAGCACGTAGGAAACCATGGACCGTGTGTGACATGTAACTGGCTGCTGCATGTGTCCAGGAATTCTGCTTAACCCTTTAAAGCCCAATCCAAGAATAACACAAAACAGAAAATTACTTTTTTTGGTTCGAATTCCTTATTTGCCCTTTTAGCAAAATATGTAAAAAGAAAAAACAGAAATACATTTTTGATATTAATAATTTATTACTATGCGATAGGGTTGTCAAAAGTATCGATACTCAAAAAAGTATCGATACTGAAAAGTTGTATCCGGATACAATACTCATTTTCAAAAGTATCGATACAGTGCCACCACCAGTGGCACCTAAACAGTCATTCATCTAAAGTGCAGAATAGAGGACAATGCACTTTCTGAACACTGTGTGATTGAATAATTCTGTGCACTTTTCGGTTTCAGACTGTTTTCTGTTTCTTAACCGGTTTGGCTAGTGTCATTGTTATGTGTGTAAAGCATAGCCAAGGAAGGAACACTTAATTTTAATTTGTAAGTTTTTTATCAAGCTTGCTTAATATTGTGCACAGCATACAACCTCAAAATATTGTTTATTGTATTTATTTATGTATTTATTGTATTTTGTTTATTAATGAAAAAAATTCTGTTGAATTTTGGAGTCTTTGTTTTTATCCTTGTATCGAAAATGACATTGAGTATCGAATATTTTACTTAGTATCGGTGTCGAGTTGAACTATGCGATAAGTCAAGATTATATTTTGTGTAGTCTAATACTGGCTGTTATCAGGTATATCTGATTGTGTACAATAGGATTTTGAGCAAAGTTTTTACCATTAAATTATGCAATAGGTGTCAGATGCAAAACATTTCAGAAACCGTATGTATCAAATACGATACATTTGGCATTATAGGGTTAATTAGCTGACTCACTTTATATGACTTATATTTCTTTTCTTAATATAAAATTGAAAACATTTTAAAATAAAACAAAAGATTAGCTATGAAAATAAATAATTTTAGCAATGAAAACGTGTGCAAAATAAAAATTATAAAACTTTTAACATTCATGTAGAAATAATTTACTTTGAACCAAATCTATTAGTTAAACCAGGTTTGTACTACTGCTACAACACATTAACACTACCCAGATAGTTGTGTGTTGAACAAATGCAGTCAAGCTAAGCGATAAGATAAGATAGATACGATTGTGTCATCTGTAAACATGTATTGTCATACTACATGAGTATTTTCTCTAGTTTTTGATAAGAAGAAAAATTGAGTTGTTTAGCCGATGAACTTAGCACTGCTTTTGCAGTGCAGGTCAGTTTGTCTGCTAAGGTCCCTTACTTAGAGGAGCAACCTCTTAGGGCAACAGAGTGAGAGCAAGGTCAACGGTTAGCAAAGCTGGGAGGAAGCGATGAGGGAGGATGCAATATTTTTGAACAAAAAGACAAGTTTCTATTGCTCTGTCTGGTCCTGGTTGAGGGATTATGGTGTGAGGTTCCATCACACCCTTTGTTGGCTTGTTTCCAGATATTATCTTTAAGTGTGAGCCCAGCTCCAGTCTTCCCTTTTTCCATTTCCCTCTTCCATTCTCCCTTTTGTGTATGAAGTCAGTGGTGTGAGTCATCCCGGGCTGCTTGGGGAGTGATTTAATTGCTCTCTCCCCTCCTCCTTTTAACATGCAATCCTCGAAGTGGGCTGTCACTGACCCCTCTGCTCATACAAAAACCCTAGCGCAGCAAATGTTGGGCCACCCTGAAACTGTGAAAATATGCTCTTGAGAAATTTGTTTAATGTGCCCTGCAGCGAAGAAACAATGCTGCTTCTGCTTTGCTTTGCTGCGATAACCTTTCCATATTGTGCAGCCCTGCTGAGTGAGTGTGAGCACAATATGGGGAGATTACCCCCTCAGCAGCAGAGGAGCTTTTGTAATTGGAGTTTAAAGGCAGGGAAAGCCTTCTGTTCTTTTTACTGTAGAAGTCAGTGAACTGATTTGTGAGTTTGTACGTGGATCCTATAGAAACTGTGACTGAAGTTAAAAACCCATCCATTTGAACCTTCAAGCTAGTGGCACACTGTTTTATTTCCATCCGCCTTTTCTTTTGTAACCCCTCTGTTTTTACATTTCGATAACAAGATGTTTTCTTGCTTTCCATAAAAGCGTATCACCCATGCTGTGAGCTTCTCATACTTCATCGTACTGACATCTGTGCTTTTCTATTTCACCTCTCTGCACTTGCGAGGTGAGACATGAGGGGGCACTGTTCTCACAGGCTAACGGGTTGGTGCCGGTGGGGGTGTGAATCAGAGGAGAGAAGCCTCATGTAGGAATTGGCTGAATGTGATTGAAAATAGGGGTTTGCCTTGACTTGGCAATACCCATCTGTATGAACCCTCTCAGATGAAAGAGCTGTTTGTTGTTAATAGGGGAAGTAATTCTTGCACCTCTGCTGCAGCCGGATCTCCTTCACAGGAAAGTAGTTCAACGCTGACATTGGTTCTGTGATGGACAGAGCTCAAAATGGGGTGAGGAGGCTAAAATGCCAGCGTGATTATAACAATTAGAGAGGCTGAGGATGAAGTAGACCACATTGCTCCGGGGTGCCTGAGTGGAATTTTTCTCCCCTGTGATGCTGATGAGTGTCTCAGAGTTGTATAACAGCAGACAGGGATCAATGGAGAATGCTGACTCTTGAGAATACTATGAATGTACTCTAGCCTGTTTGAGATGGCTACTAATCTACAATGATTATGCAGCGTGGACTGCGCTCTTGGCCCAGTCTAGACGAACAGCACACAACAGGATGCTCATGCACATGGATGGATGAGAGGAAAAAATCAGCCAGAAAGCAAAAAAAAAAAAAAAATGCACACAAAATAATGCCTATGTAGAGTGCCTTAAAATAACATGTGTTATAAATTTTTGCTATATTAATAAACTGAATTGAATAGAGAAATAAAACATGTAAAATGCTTTTGCTGTGTTTCTCTTCCTCTTCTACCGCCCCAGTCTCTTTTTTTTTCATCTTTTTTGCTAGATTTAACCAAAGATTAAAGTAAAGCCAAACAGATGTTGCCTCTGTTACTGAGTTTTACGGCGCTGAGCCATCACCAGGAGGCAAAGCTTTCAGGAACGCAAGAAAAGTCCCGATGCTTACTTTTAGATCCCCTCACTTCTTGCCGCTCGCACTCATTTCCGCTTACCCTGTTCATGCTACTGCGCTGCACAAACAAATGCTGCGTTTCTAAAGCAGCCAAAGCATATATTTCCAAATGGCACTCTGATTTTATTTTCAAAGCCTTCCAGATATGTGTAGGCGTCAGGCAGTTAAATGTGAAAACTACACACCAGATTAAAGCTTTGATTCAAAGAATACTGTATGTTTATACTATGCCTGGGCATGGTAGCATTTGGGAATATACATTTCTTTTTTTTGTGTGTTTATTTTGAATTCATAAGGAAAAACTCAGGTAGAAGTGTAAATAAACTTATGAAGTAAGATTTCATACTTGTTTTTTTTCCATGCATCTTTTTACCATCTGTTTAATTTGCTCATTAATTGTTTAAATCTCTGTATGTCCCACATCTTGTTTTTCAGCTAAGCTGGAGCTGCAAGTGCCAGACCAACCAGTCGTGGCATTGCATGGCGAGGATGTTACCCTTAACTGCTCCTTCAGCCACACAAGTCCCTTCAACTTATCTGATGTGAGCATATTCTGGCAGCTGACAGACACCAAACGCAGCGTCCATGCATTCTGGATGGGGCAAGACCAGCTGAAGGAACAAGCAGAACGCTACGCCAACCGTACGGTCCTGTTCCCTGCCCAAATGACCATGGGCAACGCTTCACTCCTACTACGAAAGGTGGTGGTTGCTGATGAAGGCAGCTACACCTGTTTTGTAAGAGTGCAAGATTACGACAGTGCTGCTTTGTTTCTGCAGGTGGCTGGTAAGTCAGCCTGTTTGATCACTCACAGATGGTGTGAAAAATAAAACAAAACGTGTTCTTTTAGAAGCAGTTTGATTCCACATAACCTGGAGATCTAGATTAAAGAAAATATTTATAAAAAAAATCGAGACGCAGACTATTATATTAGTCTGTGTGGGTATCTGACCAAAATCAGATGCAGCTTTGGCTGTTGCATTCTGAACAGTTACACTTAGCTGGTAACAAAAGGCGTGCAGCAATGCAGGACATCACTAGTCAAGGGTTGCCATTTTTATTCTTTTACTCCTTTCTGTTTCAAGGAACTCTTATTTGGAACACAGGGAGGGAATTCTGTGTTTTGGATGAAAGTCCTGATAAACATTTTCAATGATTTGGCAATAGAAAGGGACGAGGCTCAACTCCGGCTGCACTGATCCATCATCTCCTTCTTTACTGATTATCTTTGGGGATCAGTCTTTTTACATGGGAACAGCAAACAGAATGCCTTCCATGAGACCCCACCAAACATTAAACCATCACCAAAGTATAATACAAAACACCACTCTGTCTACAAAACATGCTTCTCAGCAATGTTTATTATCTGTTTTTATATTTGGCTATGCATTGGGTCTTGTATACTAACAGGCTTCCACATTTTTACTCCAGAAAAGTTCAAAAACAATCCACTGGACTTTGTTTCTGAGTTTGAAGACATTTAGCTTCGTTTAGCTTTTTCAGTTCAAAATGTTAGAAATAGCGTTGAGTTCGAGGCTTTATGCAGTAGCCCATCAAAGACTTGTTTTTGTTTAGAAAACATAAAAATAGAAATGGATGAATGGGTCCACTCCTTTGGACCCTCTGTTTAAGGTTAAACCAACCTTAAACAGATGGAGTGGACTCAGATTTCAGCTTTCAGTAATCTACAATGTTGCAATTGAGTTGATCCCTTACCGCTATCATCGCAACCCCAACCCCTTCACAGGAGAACAAAAGACCTTGCCTGTTCAGCCAGGCAAACAATTCCCTTGAACAACCCCCCTTTCAGAGACATAGACAGGTATGGGGCTTTGCAGGCTATCAAAAGAAGCCAAATGACCCCCATTCCAAAGGGCGGACCCATTCGTCTGTTTCAATTTGCATGTTTTTTAAACAAAAACAAAGGCTTTGCTGGGCTACTGTATAAAACCTCCAACTCAATGCTATTTCTGACATTTTGAGTTGAAAAAGCTTCCTGCATGAAATACAAAACGACTTCAAATTTGGAAACATAGTCCAGTGGATTGTTTTTTTTTTTTTTTTTACTTTTTTGGAATGATTATGATCTGGATGACTGAGAATCTTCACCAGCATTCACCAATTTTTAGCTTACTGGAAAGGGAGATTGGAGTTGCACATCAATTCTTACAAAAATGGGGATCTAAATGAGATAATGAGATTCTGTAGTAGGAGAGAGATAGAAATGGCCACTGATATTTACCAAAATATCCATGTGTTTCGTTTTTTTTAAGGGTTTGGCTATTTGTGTAATGTTTGACAATGCATGCTACTCAACAAATATACATAAAAATACTACATAAATATAGTAATACTATACTCCGTTTTAGATATTTCTTAGTAGTTCCACATTGTGGAACTGTATATTGAGCAAATTGTGATTTTGATCTCCAGTGTAATTGTTAGATATTCACAACAAGTGTAANAAAAAATGCACACAAAATAATGCCTATGTAGAGTGCCTTAAAATAACGTGTTATAAATTTTTGCTATATTAATAAACTGAATTGAATAGAGAAATAAAACATGTAAAATGCTTTTGCTGTGTTTCTCTTCCTCTTCTACCGCCCCAGTCTCTTTTTTTTTCATCTTTTTTGCTAGATTTAACCAAAGATTAAAGTAAAGCCAAACAGATGTTGCCTCTGTTACTGAGTTTTACGGCGCTGAGCCATCACCAGGAGGCAAAGCTTTCAGGAACGCAAGAAAAGTCCCGATGCTTACTTTTAGATCCCCTCACTTCTTGCCGCTCGCACTCATTTCCGCTTACCCTGTTCATGCTACTGCGCTGCACAAACAAATGCTGCGTTTCTAAAGCAGCCAAAGCATATATTTCCAAATGGCACTCTGATTTTATTTTCAAAGCCTTCCAGATATGTGTAGGCGTCAGGCAGTTAAATGTGAAAACTACACACCAGATTAAAGCTTTGATTCAAAGAATACTGTATGTTTATACTATGCCTGGGCATGGTAGCATTTGGGAATATACATTTCTTTTTTTTGTGTGTTTATTTTGAATTCATAAGGAAAAACTCAGGTAGAAGTGTAAATAAACTTATGAAGTAAGATTTCATACTTGTTTTTTTTCCATGCATCTTTTTACCATCTGTTTAATTTGCTCATTAATTGTTTAAATCTCTGTATGTCCCACATCTTGTTTTTCAGCTAAGCTGGAGCTGCAAGTGCCAGACCAACCAGTCGTGGCATTGCATGGCGAGGATGTTACCCTTAACTGCTCCTTCAGCCACACAAGTCCCTTCAACTTATCTGATGTGAGCATATTCTGGCAGCTGACAGACACCAAACGCAGCGTCCATGCATTCTGGATGGGGCAAGACCAGCTGAAGGAACAAGCAGAACGCTACGCCAACCGTACGGTCCTGTTCCCTGCCCAAATGACCATGGGCAACGCTTCACTCCTACTACGAAAGGTGGTGGTTGCTGATGAAGGCAGCTACACCTGTTTTGTAAGAGTGCAAGATTACGACAGTGCTGCTTTGTTTCTGCAGGTGGCTGGTAAGTCAGCCTGTTTGATCACTCACAGATGGTGTGAAAAATAAAACAAAACGTGTTCTTTTAGAAGCAGTTTGATTCCACATAACCTGGAGATCTAGATTAAAGAAAATATTTATAAAAAAAATCGAGACGCAGACTATTATATTAGTCTGTGTGGGTATCTGACCAAAATCAGATGCAGCTTTGGCTGTAGCATTCTGAACAGTTACACTTAGCTGGTAACAAAAGGCGTGCAGCAATGCAGGACATCACTAGTCAAGGGTTGCCATTTTTATTCTTTTACTCCTTTCTGTTTCAAGGAACTCTTATTTGGAACACAGGGAGGGAATTCTGTGTTTTGGATGAAAGTCCTGATAAACATTTTCAATGATTTGGCAATAGAAAGGGACGAGGCTCAACTCCGGCTGCACTGATCCATCATCTCCTTCTTTACTGATTATCTTTGGGGATCAGTCTTTTTACATGGGAACAGCAAACAGAATGCCTTCCATGAGACCCCACCAAACATTAAACCATCACCAAAGTATAATACAAAACACCACTCTGTCTACAAAACATGCTTCTCAGCAATGTTTATTATCTGTTTTTATATTTGGCTATGCATTGGGTCTTGTATACTAACAGGCTTCCAGATTTTTACTCCAGAAAAGTTCAAAAACAATCCACTGGACTTTGTTTCTGAGTTTGAAGACGTTTAGCTTCGTTTAGCTTTTTCAGTTCAAAATGTTAGAAATAGCGTTGAGTTCGAGGCTTTATGCAGTAGCCCATCAAAGACTTGTTTTTGTTTAGAAAACATAAAAATAGAAATGGATGAATGGGTCCACTCCTTTGGACCCTCTGTTTAAGGTTAAACCAACCTTAAACAGATGGAGTGGACTCAGATTTCAGCTTTCAGTAATCTACAATGTTGCAATTGAGTTGATCCCTTACCGCTATCATCGCAACCCCAACCCCTTCACAGGAGAACAAAAGACCTTGCCTGTTCAGCCAGGCAAACAATTCCCTTGAACAACCCCCCTTTCAGAGACATAGACAGGTATGGGGCTTTGCAGGCTATCAAAAGAAGCCAAATGACCCCCATTCCAAAGGGCGGACCCATTCGTCTGTTTCAATTTGCATGTTTTTTAAACAAAAACAAAGGCTTTGCTGGGCTACTGTATAAAACCTCCAACTCAATGCTATTTCTGACATTTTGAGTTGAAAAAGCTTCCTGCATGAAATACAAAACGACTTCAAATTTGGAAACATAGTCCAGTGGATTGTTTTTTTTTTTTTTTTTTACTTTTTTGGAATGATTATGATCTGGATGACTGAGAATCTTCACCAGCATTCACCAATTTTTAGCTTACTGGAAAGGGAGATTGGAGTTGCACATCAATTCTTACAAAAATGGGGATCTAAATGAGATAATGAGATTCTGTAGTAGGAGAGAGATAGAAATGGCCACTGATATTTACCAAAATATCCATGTGTTTCGTTTTTTTTAAGGGTTTGGCTATTTGTGTAATGTTTGACAATGCATGCTACTCAACAAATATACATAAAAATACTACATAAATATAGTAATACTATACTCCGTTTTAGATATTTCTTAGTAGTTCCACATTGTGGAACTGTATATTGAGCAAATTGTGATTTTGATCTCCAGTGTAATTGTTAGATATTCACAACAAGTGTAATGAATCTGTGTTCTGTGTGTAAAATATCTAATTGGAGTACTAGAACTTTAATGAACTGATGAGTTTTTTTTAAATAATGATAAAAACAATAATAAGTTGTATTTCCAAACAAAAAAGAACAAATTTTTGATTTTCCCATTACAATAAACATTTAAATCAATCATATTATTACATTTTCATACAATATTGGAAACACCTTAAACCCAGCCTTTACAGCACAGGGGATATTTCTTTAAGTTGTTCACTAGACAACAACAAATAATACATTTTTAAAGGTCATTCTTTATTGTGCCTCCACTACCCTCTCACAAATAGACACATACACACTGATAGTATAGTTGATTTAGGATAATTATCTCACATACGATGTAAACAGGTAATAAACAGCTTCCTCTAGGCTGCAGAGGATTTTTTTTTTGTCAATACGCGCTGATTGTGGTCCTTGTCATGGTCAATATGTGCTGACTTTGATTATTAGCTGTTGTCACAGTCAATCAACCTTCACTAACATCTTCTGTGCTGTGAGATCACACTGCCCCTTTTCACAGCTGAGAGTCTTTTATTTATTTATAATGATATTGTGTTTCTTCCCTTCATTCTCACGTTTCTATATTTGTTGTGAGATTGCTTCGGATTCTCCCAGAGAGGATGTGTATTGGGAGGTGTTGACAGCTAACATTTTTTGATCTGTCATTGTGTCCTGCAGTGACAAATTGGTTTGATTTTTATGGTGCACATTATTAGATGCTCTATTTTTAGGCTGTGTTTGTGCTTACTGCTGCAAACTTTCATGCTGTGCTGGAAGAAAATAAAAGCAGACCTGGTGGGAATCTGTAAGTCAAATGAACAGCTGGAGTCGGTGCCCATTCTTTCTGCGTGTCGAGATCCTGCTTTATAAAAAGCAGCAATGACAAACTTATTTAAACTCAAGTTCAGCTTTTACCCCTTGGTTTTCTGTGCAATGATTGTCTTCTCCTGCCACCTTTTTACTTGTGTTTTAGCTTGCGGGTTTGTGAAAAGGTGTTACTATACGAGTCTGACAACGGATCCTTCACCTCCCTCCTTCTACCTTCTTTGTGCCATGGGCTCTGTAGTCTCAGATTCCAGATTAGCTGTCTGTTTGGTGTTTTCCCAGGGGTTGTCTGCTCACTTCTTTGTTGCTGTTATATGGCACCACCTCTAGAGATCCAAACCCCTCTGTGGGAGTTTGCTCAGAGGAAGCATCTTTAGAGTGTAGGGGAGTATAGCAGAGGATATCTCAGTCTCCAGGATCTCAAGTTATGTAATAAACTAAGCTTCTTGAATAAAATTAGGACATTTACTGGAATCATATCAGGCAATTTTGGAGGGTTAAACTTACTGCACAGAAACACCAAAATAGAAGATTCCCAGTGTTTGCTGCCATCTTTTTGTCTCAATAATGTAACCGTTTAGGCAACTGTTCAGTCAAAGAAGCTGGAAGGAGGATCCTCTCTCCAAGCTGCCTTTGGCATATTATCAATCTTACCAGTCTTATCCAAAAAAACAAACTTTCATAGTTGAACCAAGACCAATATGGATGGAAAGTGAAACTCAGCAAAGTAAAAATAGATATATTTTTTATATAGAATAGAATAGAATTTAACTTCATCGTCATTACATTGTCACAAGTATAAAAACACAAAATTCACACTCTGCATTTAACCCATCCCCTTAGGGAAAAGTAGGCTGCCATTGTGCGTCGCCTGGGGAGCAGTCTGGAGTTAAAGGAAAAGTCCGGTCAGCAAGGAATTTAACCATTTAATGAATTTAGTGTTAATCAGTATAAAATGTATTTTTCGTCGCGATCACTGAGTCCGGGAATGGACATTTTTGTCCAAATATAGTAACACTTGACTCCTGAAAAGGTTTCCAGATGACTTCACCATTGAAATTCACTAGAGCTATAATTAAACTGTCAATGCCCACGTGCATAGCAGTTGGATGTTGTAATACATCTGGTAAATGTGAAAAAAAAACATTAGTTATTCCACCTTTCTGATTCCACGGACGGGTTCATCGTTGGATTGTCAACTTGAAGGATTTGTCATCGAATTTCTGGCCAGAGGAAAAACATGTAATATGTGGCCAACATTTAGAAGAAGAATGTTTTCAATAATCCGTTACTACATCATCATCAGTGCACTGATCGTCGCCATCATGGATAATAGCACTTTGTGACAAACACCAGATACAGCACTGGGACTTGATCAACAGCCGATACCGCACCGTGACGTCACAAACCAGTAGGTGGCAGTAGTGTTCTTTGATAAACACGGATGCCTCCATTAAAGCACATTCAAATGAAAATTACTCTTAACGAAAAACACTTATCATTTATTGAACAGTATGTAATAATTTTATATTTAAAGTACTTTCGGAAGTTTGTATTTTGATTATGACCGGACTTTTCCTAACCTCTGGCATCCAAGCGCAATGCCCTAACAACTAGGCGACCACTCCCCCACCATGAAAAAAAATCATCTAGGGGTTGGAGACATATATATATATCTTGGCTCAGATATTAAGTCTATCTACAAATTTCCAAACTGTGGTGTTATTTTTAATTTGTAACCTAATTTGAAAAATAAAAAAGGCAGAACTTGGAAATAGGAAAGTGAGATACTCTGACAGTTTATAATGGTGGCTGAACTGGAAACCCATCCTGTACCACTGTACTAAAAGGAGGATGATGGACAGGAGCCTTCCGAATCACAATCCAGCTGCAGCTACCTATAGCTGAAGTCCAGCCACCTGTTCTGTCTTGGTGCACTTAGTTATCTATTGTCCAAGTGTGTTTTTTTGCCTTAAGCCAACCTGTCAGCTGGTCTTACCCATCACATGTCAATCATGCATCACACCTTCAAGCTGACTTACCCATACCTATTCTCTGCTTCTTTACCCCAGCTCCCTACACCAAGCCTGAGGTCACTTTGGAGCCTGAATCTAACTTACGGCCTGGGGATGAGGTGGCCCTGACCTGTGTGGCATATGGCGGATATCCTAAGGCTGATGTTGTATGGCAGGATGGTAGCGGACACAACCTGACAGAAAATATCACAACTTCAATGGTGGCCAATGAACAAGGGCTGTTCACCATGACCAGTGTGCTCAACGTCGTGCTGGAGCCCAACAGCTCTTTCAACTGCAGACTGATCAACCCACTGCTTAGTGAGGAACGCTCCATTTTTGTCACAGTCACAGGTTGGTAAAGGATCTTTTTTTCTTTATTAGCTACTCTTTACTGTTTTGTTGGTGTATTTGAATTTTACCATCACAGAATATGCATGTTTTCCCATCAAGCATGCAGAGGTTCTCATTAAAATGTTGTATCCTTTTGTCTACCGCTGTGTCTGGCAAGTTTCTCTCTGTGGAGTTTAACTAGTTTGTGTCTTTCAAAGCTGCAGTTAAACCACTGGGAATTAAAGACCTGCACACATACACTTCACTAGACAGAACCTTTTAGTTCTTTTGCATGGTTAAGTAAGATCAGTGGGGGATATTTCCTCTAAGCACAGTCAAGCTGCCTTTTATCAAATATTTCAAAAGATTAAAGCAGTAAAATGAACAAATGCACAAAAGGAAAATGACCAGATATTCTCTGCAGCAAGTACCCTGCCACCTGGGCATTGTTGTTATGTGTTTCATTTTCTTAAATCATTTGATACATCTTTAGACTATGCTTCTGTTAGCATCAGTGTTAGGACGGTCTTTATAACCTCACCTTAAGGCTCTGCCCAGCTGTGTCTGCCTGGACCTGATGGTATATCCTGTGTGTTAAATGTGACGAGAATGCCATGTAAGGGTGGGCTAAGGGTTGGTCTCTAATGGGAGCAGCACTGTGTGAAATGGCTCATAAATAAGTAGAGATGGCCAGAGCTGGCTCTCTGGGCTGTAGCTGGTGCTGGTGCTCGGCCTTTTGAGACGGAGGTCGAGGCAGAGGTCACTGAGTGCTGCTCCACTGGGCTGGGAAATAACTGGGCTGTCTGGAAACAGGATGGCCAACTGGCAGGACTGGATGGCTGAGTGAAGTTGGCCTTTCCAACAGTTTGCTTGCCCCCAGAACAGAACAGTTAACCAGTCAGAGGGACCATTGGGGAGGTGGGGAATTATTGAACACACAATGACAATACAAATATAACTGAAGAAACCATTTTGGTGTAGCGTTGCTGCTGTTACTGTCTCTATTCTGTTAGATTGATGCTCTACTTTGACAGTGGTTGAAAGCTACTTCTTTGCATCATTATTGTGCTTTGCATTTTACTGGCATTTATTTCCCTTGTTCAATCGGCAGTTTTTTATTAAAAAACTGAATTGTAAATTTGAATGGTTGATTAGGTAAATCAATCATCCAGTAGCACCCAGAAGAGAGACTAAACCTTTGGTTCTTTGAAATGGACATAGAGGAATTCATTTGCACCCAGAGATATGCTTTGAGGTCTTTATACATTAGAATTAGCATGAGAGAAAAGGTTTGAAATTAAATTGCTCGTTTTTGGGTATGACTGCCATGGGACACTGAAGTGTCATCATAGGACACAGATGCTCAATCAAATATATTACTGCTGCTGTTCATATAGAAAATTAATGTCATTACCTAACGCCTGAGTGTCATGGCCTTCTTATTCATTGGGCGGATATGTTCTCAAAATGTCAGTGAAAAAATTAGATATCACAAATCATATCCTAAGAATTGTTGGCCTTTGTTTTTCTTTTACTTCTAAAGCAATAAGTGTCAGCAGGAAGTTTTTTTTGTAGCAATAGTAGGAGAGGTTTTTTGAGTTAGACTAATTAATTGTAAATGTACCCTTAGTAGGTCTGTCTGTCTATCTATCTATCTATCTATCTATCTATCTATCTATCTATCTATCTATCTATCTATCTATCTATCTATCTATCTA